TATTTATTAAATATCATTATTTAGGAATGTCACTAATAAATTTGGATAAATATGAAGAAGCTATTGAATGCTTTGACTAAGCTCTTATGATACATCCCAAATATGATGATGCATTGATTTATAAGGGTATTTAGTGTTTAAATTTCATTTATTAGGAGTTGCACTATGTAATTTGAATAAATACGAAGAAGCTATTTAATGCTTTGACCAAGCAATTATTATAAATCCTAAAAATGAATATGCATTGATAAAAAAGGGTTTTATTTGTTAAATATCATTATTTAGGAGTTGCACTAGATAATTTGAATAAATACGAAGAAGCTATTGAATGCTTTGACAAAACTATTATTTTAAATCCCATATGTGCTCATGCTTTGATGTAAAAGGGTATTTAAAGGTTAAATTTCATTTATTAGGAAATGCACTATGTAATTTGAATAAATACGAAGAAGCTATCGAATACTATGACAAAGCGCTTATGATAAATCCCAAAATTTATACGGCTTTGTACAATAAGGGTTTTTATTTGTTAAAAATCATTATTTAGGAAAGGCACTAGAAAATTTGAATAAACACGAAAAAGCTATTGAATGCTATAACAAAGTTCTTATGATGAATCCTAAAGATAATAAGGTATTAATTTCTAAGGGTAATTAATTGTTAAATTTTATTTATTAGGAGTTTCACTATGTAATTTTAATAAATACGAAGAAGCCATCGAATGCTATGACAATGCTCTTATTATAAATCCTAAAGATGTTTTAGCGTTGGAGATAAAAGGTACATTACATTATTATTTAGGTAAGGTGCTACACAAAATAAAAAAATATATGGGTGCAATCACTTGCTATAATGAAGCTTTATTTTTAAAAACTTCACCAAACTTATTAATACTGAAAGGTAATTAAATTTTAAATTTCTATTCAGCTCATTCACTATTTGAATTAGGAAAGACATCAGATGCTAAAAAACTTTATTTAGCAGCATTAGATAAAGGATCAAATGAATTGGATTATATAAAGAACTAAATATAATAGATATGAAGCATTATAACATCATTTACATATCCAATTATTATATTTTATATTCAGTAAATTTTTTTAGAAATTTATATAATTCTAGTATTTTTATATTCATTTTTATTTTAATCCATTTTTGTGAATCTTTTTGATAGTTGAATAAGTTTTATTTATTAAACTATCTTAATGGAATTTTCATATTTATTTACTTATAAATAAATTAAAATTAACAATAATTTATTCTCTATGATATAATATTTTTGTTGTATAAAGGATGAAAAAATGATATTATAATTGATTCTAATATTCCTCAGATTACAAAAGAAGATTACTTTGATGAAATAAAAGAGAATCTCAATTCTGAAAAAGCAGTATATTTGATTAACTTAAATGGTTAATAGAAACTTTGAAAGGGTAAAGCATATTCAAGAATTTCTAAGTAAAACACTATTTAGGTTTTAAAAAAAAATTAAGTCTATTATCATTTTGGAAATCAAAAATGAAGATCATATAAATCCGATGTTATTAATGTCAGAGTTTAAGTCAATATGCTTTGATATATATAAAATAATGGCATTTCCATATCTGTACTTTAATTAATGTTATAATATGTTTAAGCTTGAAGTGTTCATTTTTAATCGCTATGGTATATAATTTTAAGAATAAAAAGGTTAAATCTAATGTTGACTTAGTAGGAATATTGAATTTTTAAGGATCTCTTAGAGATTTTATTATTTCAGTAACTGAATTTTGAGTTGAAATGTAATATTATTTCTAATTATTGAAGAACTTTTTTATTAGCATTTGAAGATGGAAATATTCACTACCGCCACCCGATTTCAGATATATTATATCTAAATAATTTTCAATTATTATTTTTATAATCTCTCATATAAAATTTCCTTCTCTGATTGCGGATTCTAAATTTTAATTAATTTTTACACATTTTAATGAAGCATTTTGAATTTTCTCTTTAAATCTATAAAATCCTTTTTCCTTTCATGAATTGGCCTATCAAGTCGTTATCATTCCTTTTATATATCTATTTCCTCTAATAATTTCATCAAAGAGATTGCTAAAAGTTCTAAAGAATGTTCAAATTATTCTTAATTATGATTAAATATTTAAGCTTACGATTTGTTTACATAAGGTATGTAGTAACCATATCAATATGGCCTAAATATTAATAAGAAATTACCATTTTAATACAACTCTAGATTGAATTAATCCTTTCATTATTTCTTCTAAGAATTAACAATCTTATTCAGTGAATTAATAATACTCAAACATTTCTGGGATATATTTTTCCTTAATTTGAATTAATCTATTGTAGCTTTTACTTTGGCAGCTTATGAATTTAAGAATCTATCATAAGATAAACTCTTTTTCTTCTTCTAAATTGGTATTTTGAGGAATGTAATTGTTGCATTCAAAATGATCATTATGAAGAGGTTCCCAAAGTTATGAACAAACATAGCAAAAAGCTTAACCACAATCCCTGGAGATTTACCCAGCATGTAATTACATCCATCTGCTCTCTCTACTGGCTTTTAACAAAATGGACATTATTTTGTGTTTATTTCTATTCATTTTATTTTGGCTCATCTTTTTTATTTCCTGTAATCATCTCTATACTAAATCACATGGACATTGAGGATGAAATTCTTCTTTACAAAAAAAACAGAATATATTCTGAGATTTAAACGTTACTTTTCTTTTATTCACCCCAATGTGAGTTTTAAAATCTTATTCCAATCAACTCCTGTACAATAGGCTAAAATATCTAGAACTGTCGAAATATCTTCTGATTAATATATATATATATTTTCAAATTCTTAAGGATTACAATGTTTTATAAGCATTGTTTTAGGAAGCCTATAATTGCATCCATTCTATAAACATTTCAATTCTAAAAATTTTTCCTAAGAAACTCTTTTTTTTATTGTTTATTCAATACAAGATTCACAAAATTGATGGGTACATCCTAATTAAATTAATTTTCCATCACAAAAACAAACAGAACATATTCCGTAAAGATTATTATTCATAATCTTCCCATGGTCATTAACAATTTCTTAGGCTTTTAATTATATCAATAAACCTTCTTAATTAGTAGAGCAAAAGTATTTTTAAAGGATTTCTTCTCGATTCCAATTGTAATACACGAATAATTTAAATTATTAACATAAATTACTTCAAAAGTATTATCCATATTAAAATACAATTCATCTGAAAGCTCTTTCATATCTTTATTGATCACTTTAATGACATCTCTTATCTCAAGAATTTCTGCTCTATTAAAATATATTCAATTTCTATTTACCCTTCTATGGAGTAGAATCTTGATAATCCCGTTGAATAGTCTTAAACTTCAAAATCTTCCATTTTTAGGATTATTTATTTTTTTAATATTAATTTCTTTCATTATATAAAGCGTGATAAAACATATAGTGATGATTCAGCAAATAAATTTAAGAAAGAACCTTCTCTTTTTGCTTCAGGGAAGGATTACAAGCAAAATTTAGATATAATTTTAATAGCAATATTAATAAGTTTATGAATATAGTTAACTTATAGCTAATAAAAGAAAAATGATAGATAAAGAAATGATTTTTAAATTATTTATATAAATCAGAAGACTTAGAATCCTCAGAGAGAAAAAGAGAGTAAGTCTTCTTAATTATTTATTCCTTCCATTTCCCCTATGTTATATATGAAACAAACGCAATGAAGACTGAAAGATAAACTCTATTAATTAGAATCAAACAGAGATACACTTTTAATTAATTTATGCAATTAAACAAAACAGAATATTTTAGCTATATACAAAATAAAACAATGCTTTCTTGAAACTAAACTATTCAAAACTATTAATAATACATGTGTTTTTTTTGATTATTAATAACACTGAAGAATCATAGAAGATTCTCACTTAATCTAGTTTTTCTATTAAAAAGCTCTATTTCAAAACAAAAGGAATCTAAAATTAAAATACAACTATTTAAAATTCATATCTATATTGTTAAAATTAATTTAAATTATTTATCTTTAAAAATACTTAACTTAAAGATTTGCAAGAATTATTTTATAGTTATTTGGATTATAAGTCGAAATTATTTGGTAATTGTTACAAAAGATTTTTTTCAATCTTAATTTATTTTTAATTTGATTATCTTTTAACGATTGGTAACCTATAGATTTAGTTAGAATTTTATCTTAAAATGGCCTATAATTTTTGAGATTTTATTATGATTTTCATACTTAACAAATTTTAAATTTCAGAAATTTAAACTTCAGNATCTTTATTGATCACTTTAATGACACCTCTTATCTCAAGAATTTCTGCTCTATTAAAATATATTCAATTTCTATTTACCCTTCTATGGAGTAGAATCTTGATAATCCCGTTGAATAGTCTTAAACTTCAAAATCTTCCATTTTTAGGATTATTTATTTTTTTAATATTAATTTCTTTCATTATATAAAGCGTGATAAAACATATAGTGATGATTCAGCAAATAAATTTAAGAAAGAACCTTCTCTTTTTGCTTCAGGGAAGGATTACAAGCAAAATTTAGATATAATTTTAATAGCAATATTAATAAGTTTATGAATATAGTTAACTTATAGCTAATAAAAGAAAAATGATAGATAAAGAAATGATTTTTAAATTATTTATATAAATCAGAAGACTTAGAATCCTCAGAGAGAAAAAGAGAGTAAGTCTTCTTAATTATTTATTCCTTCCATTTCCCCTATGTTATATATGAAACAAACGCAATGAAGACTGAAAGATAAACTCTATTAATTAGAATCAAACAGAGATACACTTTTAATTAATTTATGCAATTAAACAAAACAGAATATTTTAGCTATATACAAAATAAAACAATGCTTTCTTGAAACTAAACTATTCAAAACTATTAATAATACATGTGTTTTTTTTGATTATTAATAACACTGAAGAATCATAGAAGATTCTCACTTAATCTAGTTTTTCTATTAAAAAGCTCTATTTCAAAACAAAAGGAATCTAAAATTAAAATACAACTATTTAAAATTCATATCTATATTGTTAAAATTAATTTAAATTATTTATCTTTAAAAATACTTAACTTAAAGATTTGCAAGAATTATTTTATAGTTATTTGGATTATAAGTCGAAATTATTTGGTAATTGTTACAAAAGATTTTTTTCAATCTTAATTTATTTTTAATTTGATTATCTTTTAACGATTGGTAACCTATAGATTTAGTTAGAATTTTATCTTAAAATGGCCTATAATTTTTGAGATTTTATTATGATTTTCATACTTAACAAATTTTAAATTTCAGAAATTTAAACTTCAGTAATTTTCTTTTTCTAAAATTTATTTTAATGATTCTTCTTTTCTTTCTTTTATTCAAGAAATATAGTTGATATCTACTTAAAAAATAATCTCATATTATTGAAAATATGGTCAATAATTTATATATGTACTCTTTAATTTAAGCGTATTTCCAAATATTCTAAGTTCAATCTGCTCATAAGGATTTTGATTTTTGTCTATTTTAATACCCTTCCATGTAAGGTATTTAAGGTTAACAATTAAGGGCTTTACTTTTTAATAACCAAATATGAAATGATCATTAACCAATCATTCATAAAAATCTAATTAGACCTAAAAACTCACTTATCAACTAATTTTCAAAAAAAAACTTAGAAACAAACAATTTGGAAGATATTGATGAAAGAAAAAAAGTAAAAATCAAATTTCTCCAAGAACAACACAACTAATAATAATATCTCATATAATATATTAAAATTGATATCGTGGAATCTCAGTTCATTAACAATGAAACTTATTAAATTACATAATTGCAAGCTCCTTTTATTATGTGTTTATAAGAAGTTAGAATTTTATTTGGAATTCATTAAGATTTTAATTCACAAGATATTACAGATTACTTTGTTAATAATTATGATTATGATCTATTCATAATAAGGGCAACGAATCAACTAATGGACTTGATTGTAATGAATGTATATTTTAGAAGTAAAGCCATTTTTAGAAAATTTAAAGTAATTTCAGAATTGATAACATTCTGATTAATAAAAAATTTTCCTATTCTCTAAACTCAATTTTTAAACATATTTATACGATTATTCTTTAATAAACATAAAGATTGTTTCCATCAGGGACTAAGTAAAGAAAAGAAATCACAGAAATAAAGAAAATTTAGCAATTTTATAGTGCTAAAAATATTTAAATTACTTTTCAGAACTTTAAATCTTTTTATTAATAGTTTAAGAAATAAATTATTAAAATTAACATTCTTATTAAAAGGAGAATAAAATTAAGAAAATTAATCTATAAAAGCCATCAATTAGATTGGGTTGAAAAATTTAATCTAGCCTTTGGTAAAAGATAGAGTTTTTAAATTAATTAAAAAGACAAAAATGATGAATGTAAATTAAAATTTTCAAAATCAATTTATATTCTTTCGAATAAGTCGAGCGTCCGTTTTTCCTATTGTTTATCTATTTAATATTCCTCAATTTCAAAGAAAGAGTTTTGATCCATAGTTCCTTAATATTTTTAATTGAATTCTTCAATTCTAGGTTCTGTCATGTATTTGAACTTAAATTTATTATTTATATTTATTTTGGGTAATTATATTATCATAAAATCATGAATTTAATCCGTTTTATCATAATGATCTTCAATTAATTAAAAGTATTCAAGGAACTGCAAATTCTATAAAAAATTCTTTCAATCTTCTATTTATAGGCTTTTGGCTGTTTTTATTTTAGAAGATTGCATTATGTTTATATTAAAATGAACTTCTTATAGTAATTAAAATTCTTCAAAGACATTTTTGGTTAACCATTATTTCAAATCTTTAGCTATGGGATTGTATTTATAATAATTATAATGGAAAATTTGATTATTATTTATTATAATTTAAAGTAATTGATTTACAAGTAAAACTAGGAATTAATAAATTATAATCAAGAACAACTGAAGTTTTAAAATTATAATATATATAGATAATTGAAGTTGTTTAATTAAGAGTGTTATTCGACTTTATTTTATTAGGAATAATTTAATAATTAATTTTTATATATTAGAGATGAAATTGACTTAAAATAAAATTCAGCTATTCTAACCAGCATCCTTTAAACCATAATTTTATGATTAATCTTAGAAGAATTCTTAAGAAAGTATACTAAAATTATTTAGCCTCAGTAGATACTAAAATATTAAAATCTATTTGAAAAATTTAATATTAGAAGCATACAGGTTTTGATGATGATATTTGAGGTTACAGAAAAATCTAATAAAAAAAAGAAACTCTATTAAATAGGAAAATAATAGTTATTGTAAATCAATAATTATTAATAGAAATTAAAGGATTATCCGTTTAATCTTAATAGTTCTATTATAAAGGAGTATTAATAAAATTAGTCTTGTGAACTTGATAAATTGAAATAGAAAGGAATATAATAAGATATATGAGATCAATTAATATTTTTGTTCGATACTAATATTTAAAATATTATTTCAATAATATAAACAACTAGGATTATAAATTATTAATTAAAGAATGAAAATTTTAAAAATCAAAGGATCTTTAAATATGATAAATATGAGATATTACAAAAGAGTTGCATTTCATAGAATTAAGGATTATTAAAATATTAGTGAGTATCAAAAAGAGAAGATTGTATAATTTGACTGACGTCAGAAATTCTTCATTTAATTATACAGATGCTTAAAAGTTAAGTAATCCAAAATGAAGGATTTTGAAAGGGGAACTTCTGATCACCAAAGATGTACCCAATTTATCATATTATTATGCAAGAATTGTAATGTATTCTTTTTCACTTCACTATTAATAACATTCAAGTTTATCTAATTTTATCTCAATCATATAAGATGCTAATACAATTTGATGAAAATCCTAATTAAAATTATCAATTTACTTAAGATTAGATAGATAAAATAAAAAATAAGCATCTCTTTTATCTTCTTTACCTCAACTAACGATTCAATATTTATTATCAAAATATATATAGTGATGATTTACTTAGAATAATCTTAGTTTAGAGTATTAAGAGATTTTGTAAAAATAGAAGAAGGCGAGATAAATTATAATTCATGTATATTATTAATATTAATCATTGAAGTGATGGTGATTTGAAGAGAACTAAGGAAGAGCGTAAAAAGCCAAATATTTAAGGTAATTTTGAAGATTAAATAACAAACGAATTTTGAAGAAGCTTCTTAAATTAGAATGATTAAATAAATAATAAATACAAAAATAATACATAATTATAATTATACCATAATCAATGATCATTATAAAAAAAATAAATTTAAAAAATTATTAATATTGATTCATTATTATTTGTGCTTTTTTTTTCAATAATTGAAATGCAATTAAGGTACTATAATATTAGTAAATGGTTAAAAAATTTCGTCATTGAATTCAAGTTTGACACCTAAATAATTTAACTAAAATCATACAAAATTATTATGCTTTGATTTCTTTGCATATTAGGAGTAAGTAATTCTTAATTTTTCTAATATAAAAATTTAATTTCAGAATATTGAATTATCTTTCATGTTAATTAATTTCAATTAATTTTATATTGTCTAAACTTTAATTATTATTAATTCATTAGTTGAATATCAATTATGCAAGCTAATAGTAAATAAAATATTTTTAGAATAGTATTTATGAAATAATCAGAACCAACAAATTGAATTGTAGAGTTAGGATTTTTAAATTTCTCAATTTCAAACAAAGATTTCTAAAGACTGATAATTTTCGATATCATTTATTAACTTCCTATTGATGTCATTATTTCTTAAATTTAAACTTTAATGGCCAAGTTATGGAATCAATTATAATCAAAAGGTATTTTTTCCTTAATTATTTTAATAAAGACAGTTAACAATCTTAAATATAATAGACAAATTTTCTAGAGTTCCTAAACTTATAAAGATACCTCTTATTAACTTGTCAAATTAGAATAATTGGTTAATTTCCAAAAAAAATAGAAAATTCGACTTATATCAATTATTTTTCAAACTTTACATTTAGTGAATGTTGAACAATTTCCAAATATTTTTAAGAGAAATCTTATACATTCAAAAATTAGTTTAATTTAACATTTAAATGAAAATAAACTATCTACCAATACGATTTGATTTAAGTGTGAGAAAAATTTTTTTTAATTTCTCTACTTTGGCTTCCCTTAAAAATTTCATGACATCTACTTAATACAAAAAATTATTCAAACTTAACAATGATCCCGCAAAATAAAATGATAAAATGCCTTTACTTTGAACTGAAGGGGTGGGATTAGGATCAATGGAGAATGCTTAATCGAGATAT